CAGCACAATCCAAACCATGTCAGAAGTAATGCTTATTGGATTTAATAGGGTCTTGGCATTAAGGATTGCTGCCTATTTTAGCTGAGATGCTAAGTTATCCTATTGCCATTGGAACAAATGGAATAAAAAACATTTTAAAAAAAAAAATTTTTTATCATTGTGGGTGGGTGTGTTTGTACATTTTCAGAACTAGAGAAGAGTAATATTACTTTCCGAACATAAGAAATGCCTACTGGATCAGGCCCTTGGTCAATCTAGTCCAGCATCCTGTTCTCACAGTGGCCAACCAGATGCCTGTGGGAAGTCTTCAAGCAGGACCTAGGCAGTCTCCCTTCCTGTGGTTTTGAAGCAACCGGTACTCAGAAACCTTCATCATAGCTTTGTTGTTGTTTAGTCATTTAGTTGTGTTCGACTCTTCGTGACCCCATGGACCAGAGCACTCCAGGCACTCCTGTCTTCCACTGCCTCCCACAGTTTGGTCAAAGTCATGCTGGTAGCTTCTAGAACACTATGCAACCATCTCGTCCTCTGTCGTCCCCTTCTCCTTGTGCCCTCCATCTTTCCCAACATCAGGGTCTTTTCCAGGGAGTCTTCTCTTCTCATGAGGTGGGCAAAGTATTGGAGCCTCAGCTTCAGGATCTGTCCTTCCAGTGAGCACTCAGGGCTGATTTCCTTCAGAATGGATAGGTTTGATCTTCTTGCCATCCATGGGACTCTCAAGAGTCTCCTCCAGCACCAGAATTCAAAAGCATCAATTCTTTGGCGATCAGCCTTCTTTATGGTCTAGCTCTCACTTCCATACATCACTACTGGGAAAACCATAGCTTTTACTATACGGACCTTTATTGGCAAGGTGATGTCTCTGCTTTTTAAGATGCTGTCTAGGTTTGTCATTGCTTTTCTCCCAAGAAGCAGGCATCTTTTAATTTCATGGCTACTGTCACCATCATAGCTAGGAGCCATTAATAGGCTTATCCTCCATGATTTTGTCCAGTCCTCTTTTAAAGCCATTCAACTAGGGTGGCCACCACTGTCTGTTGTGGAAGGCAAGTGAAATACAGTCATACCTCGTGTTGCGTTTGCTTCAGGTTGAGCATTTTCAGGTTGCGTCCTGCAGCGACCCTGAACTACCGGAAAGGGTTACTTCCAGGTTTCGCTGCTTGCGCATGTGCAGACACGCAAAATGACATCACGTGCATGCACAGAAGCGGCGAATTGCGACCCGCTCACGTGCAGACGCAGGTTGCGTTCTGCTCATGTTGCGAATGGGCCTCTGGAACAGATCCCGTTCGCAACCAGAGGTACCACTGTACTTAGAAAAGTCCCTTTCAGTTATATTCCTCCGTTGGGTGCAGCCTGGAAGCTGCAGCTGGCGAAGAACCCCAGCTGCTGGCTGGGCTGTCTCCCAGACAGAATAGGACACCTCTGCTGGGAGAATTGCACTGGCTGACAAGATGCTCCTGGGCTCAGTTCAAGGTTTTCCTTTTAGTCCTTTACATCTTGGGGACAGGTTACTTGACAGGCTACCTGAGGGAGTACCTTTGCTCCATGTACCCCAACCTGGCAATGCCATTCCTCTCATGGGGTACATTAGGAGTTCTTTATGCTCCAGAGGTACAACTGACATCAGCTGGAAACCAAACCTTTAGGCTTGCACTCCATCTCGATGGAATCAGCTTCTGGCTGAACACAGAGAATCCCTGCTTTTAGGCAGTGATTAACAACTTTTTTTTGCTTTTGTTTTTTTAAAGGGCTTCCCCTGAAGAAACTCGGCCATTTTGTATTGTATATGATAGATAATTTTGTAAGTTGATGCTTTTAAGATCTGTGTTTTAGACTGTTACATGTATTTCACATTCTTTCTCTTTCGTGTGTGTGTATAGTTGTTGTTTTGGGATATTTCTGTTGTTGTTCAGAAACACTTGTTGGGAAGAAGTTTATAAATCCTTAAAATAGATCGATAGGCACACATACCGTTATGCAGACTGCAGAGATCTTTTTTTTTTGTTCATGTGTTTGTCTGGCTTATCTCTTGGCTAAGATGCTTAACACTGAATGACATTCCCTCAAGGAGCCGCAATATCATGTACTGTATTTTTCGCTCTATAAGACGCACCAGACCACAAGACGCACCTAGTTTTTGGAGGAGGAAAACAAGAAAAAAAATATTCTGAATCTCAGAAGCCAGAACAGCAAGAGGGATCACTGCGCAGTGAAAGCAGCAATCCCTCTTGCTGTTCTGGCTTCTGTGATAGCTGTGCAGCCTGCATTCGCTCCATAAGATGCACACACATTTCCCCTTACTTTTTAGGAGGGAAAAAGTGAGTCTTATAGAGCAAAAAATACGGTAATTTGTTGGGTGCCTCACATTCTCTCTCTCTCTCTCTCTCTCTCTCTCTCTCTCTGTGTGTGTGTGTGTGTGTGTCTGGGTACCATATTAATCCGTTAAGAGTTCCACCCTTGGCCCAGAAAAAAAGGGCAGGGAACTGGTGAATTGTGGGACCTGTAGTTCCTTAACACTCTTCTTTGTCTGTGTGATTGAGGGAATGAAAAGACCATACCCTTCTCCTTTTAATTCCTCAGTTGCTGCCACTACTGCTTCTCTCCCACTGACAAGGACAATACAATGTGTGAGGGGAGAGCATTCTGTGGGCCTGGAAGCACTGCAGGGATGGGTCCTCTGGTGGTGTGCAGAAGGAGTGGAGACTTGCAGGACACAGGGTTTTATCCCTCAGTGCTACAGTTTTAGATCTGAGCAGGGGAGCAGTACCAGGGGTTGGAAGATTGCCCACTCCTTTTGGGGCAGGCTTTCCAAACTCCCAGGGTTCTTCTTCAGGCAAATTCCCATGATGTCTCTAATTCTAAGATCCTGATGCTCTGGAATGGAGATGTCCAATTTAGCTACTCAACACGGAGAAATCTATATTTGTCCTTTTAAAATGTGTGGTGGAAATGCGGAATATTGGGTTGTCTTTGTTTTTATTATGTGTTTTGTGTTTTGTATACCATGATTTTATGTTGGGAACCACCCTAAGATCTATGGGTATAGGGTGGTATACTGAATGAATGAATGAATGAATGAATGAATGAATGACTGAAAATATTTTTGTCAAAAATAGAAGGCAAAGACAGTTCTAAGATAGTGACTATCCGAGTAGACAATTCCATGAAATGAAGAAAGACACAAAGCTTGTGTGAATGATATTTTCCCCACTCTTGCTAGTAGAAATTTAAAGGATCATGTATTCACAGACCACAATAGCACAACATGACAACAGCTTCGTGCTGTCTTTCTTTGTTGATGCTAAATGCTCCCTCACCCAGCTGAAACACTTTCTACCTGAATGGAGAGACTGCTTGTTATTCATCACTGTCAGCAGGGTATAGAGAGTCGTGGGGTAAATTCTAAAGTGACACCTCTAAAGAATGGCAAATGTCCCGATTTTGCTTTTGTGTCTGACCCCAGGGAAATGTTTTCAAATAGCAGTCCCCAAGGACAAGTATGTTTCTTGTATTATTATTAATTTTTTTTAAAACCACACTTAAGGGAAATTGCAGAGGGCATCCAGAGCACTGAAATTACCTTTATGAGTTGCATTAGGCTTGCCACTTGAAAGGTGACTTCCCTCTCCATGCTAGATTGACAAAACAGGTTTAAACAAAACAAAACAAGAAAGAACCCTGGCTCTTATATATGCGATTTGTACTGTTGTACTTCCTACAGCTGAAGGGACAAGCCCTATTTACACTCTTCTGTGGCTTGCCTCTTCAGCTGCGGGGATTGCTCTGTCACCAGTGTCAACAAAACTCTGGCTATGCATGAGATTCTGCCCCATCTCTCACTTCTTTGGATTAAAACTCTTCTATTTTAGCCCTTGGGGTGCAGGTGGCGCTGTGGGTTAAAACACAGAGCTTAGGACTTGCCAATCAGAAGGTCGGTGGTTCTAATCCCCGTGACGGGGTGAGCTCCCGTTGCTCGGTCCCTGCTCCTGCCAACCTAGCAGTTCGAAAGCACATCAAAGTGCAAGTAGATAAATAGGTACCGCTCTGGCAGGAAGGTAAACGGCGTTTCCGTGCGCTGCTCTGGTTCACCAGAAGTGGCTTAGTCATGCTGGCCACATGACCCGGAAGCTGTACGCCGGCTCCCTTGGCCAATAAAGCGAGATGAGCACCGCAACCCCAGAGTCGGTCACGACTGGACCTAATGGTCAGGGGTCCCTTTACCTTTACCTTTATTTTAGCCCTTGGATATCTTGACTCTAGGATTATAATAATATAATAATAATAATTTATTATTTGTACCCCGCCCATCTGGCTGGGTTTCCCCAGCCACTCTGGGCGGCTTCCATAGAAACAAAAAATACAGTAAAATATCACAGATTAAAAGCTTCCCTGAACAGGGCTGCCTTAAGATGCCCTCTAAATGTCAGGTAGTTATTTATTGCTTTGACATCTGATGGGAGGGTGTTCCACAGGGCGGGCGCCACTACCGAGAAGGCCCTCTGCCTGGTTCCCTAGGATTGTCCAGACATTACACTGAACACAAGCACAAACTGTTGCGACATGTGTACAAGCATTTGTGTGAAAGGGTGTACACTTGTTTATTTGTACAGCTCAACTATGGTGTGCAGACACTGTACGTTTTTTGAACGTGACAAGTAAAAGGACAAGGGTACAAGTGTTCAGCTATTTGTGTGCACAGCTTGTACACTCCTGGATCGTAGACACCTCACAAGAGATTAATGTTGCCATTACCTCTAGTTTCCAGTGCTGCATCCTCAATAACTATGTTTATTTAGTTCATCCTCACACCAGTTCTGTGGATTGGAATAACTTATTTTAAGAATAGGAAATGAGGCCAGGAAATCATGATTTGCTTATGGTCAATTACTCAGTACACACTAGCTGTTCATGATGCAGACTAAATTTTATAGAATTTTAGAGTTGGGAGGAACCATGAGGATCATCTAGTCCAGCCCCCTGCAATGCAGGAATCTTTTTGCCCATCGTGGGGCTCAAACCCATGACCTTGAGATGAAGAGTTTCATGCTGTTACCAACTAACCACAGATCTATAGCAGCTCTTAATAACCATGCAGCACGATTAGAAACATTTGATGAAGACAGGCTGTGAAACAGCATCTGCCAAAAATTAGACCTTTCTCTGGCCTTTTCACCCTTAATAAAACAAGATACCTTATGATTCCATGGGGTATCGTTTGAATGTCTCTTGCGGGAGACATCTAAATACAGCAGTGACATCAATCAATAATGGGCATCCATTGATTTGATTTGCTAAATGAGGATGTGCGTAACAGAGAAGGTAAAATATTAGCTTGGTAAAAGAATACAATGTTATTGACTACTCGGGCTAAGACTAATAAGAGGCAGCTGTGCACAGCTCTGTGCCTTTTGACGAGAGGATCAGAAAGAAAATTATTCCTCTCTTGTGTTAAAAGCACAGATAAATGGGCCAGTTTAGTGCATTTATGAAGGCTGTTAATTAGATGCATAGAATTACAAAGAAGGCAAAGAAGGATGCTTTAGTGCTGCCCAGGGATATTTTAAGCAGAGCCTTTATGGCCTTTTATTGGCTAAAGTTCTGCTACGGGTCCTTGTTCTTACTACAACTACGGGACAATAAAACTAGGTAGGATCTGATTGCTGATGGCTGTGGAAAGCTGGATGAATGAATTGACAAAATGCATATGGCTTAAAATCTGTCGCTGTTGTTATGAAAGTCACTGTTTATTCAGGCACAGGAGTCAAACCTTGATGAGAAAACCCAAAAGCAATTCACAGTCAGTTCACAAACAACAACAACACACAGTTAAGAGGACCCCGTGTGAGAGGCGGGTAAGGGGAAATCTCACAGGTTGAGAGGCTGTGAAAACAGAGGGCTGAGCCCAGGTGAAAGATAGAAGGGTTTACCTTCCTCGGGAGAGGATGAAAGTGATGAGATAGGATCTTGTAGTTTCTTTTTCTTCTTTCTTTGGTTTCTTTCTTTTCTTTATTTCTTGTAGATTAGTTTGTTCTTTTACTCGCATTGTGAAAAAATCAACAATAAATTCTAAACAACAACAACACACCAGCTTCTACCACATTACTGAATCAGACCGTAATATTGTAAGAACCCTGCCGGATTATAATATAAGTAATATATTTATTTATTATACCCCGCCTTTTTCTCTGTCAGGGACTCCAAGTAACAGAACACATGGAAGAGATGCAAAAGGGGGTGTGGGAAGCGAAGAAACCATCTTGCAATGAGTTACACAGACCAGTTGGGGGCAACAAACAGAAAAGCAACCTGCTCTTCGCACCCTGGCTTCCCTCCTTCCTTTCTTCATCAGTGTTAGTGTTGGGTCTTCCTTTTGTTCCCCTCATTGACTGCATGATATGGCCACAAGGAAGCTTGCGCTTGGAATGGCTTTCTTTGCCAGGAGTGGGGAAAAACCTTAAGACACTTTATCCTTTCAACCAGCAGTCTTACAAGACTGCTGTTTATACCAAACTCCCAACAGTGTTAGAGGTGAAAGTGGATGGAACAACAGATGAGATTCTTACCTTTGAAGACTAGGCTACCTCCTGGCTATGAAAAAGCCATATGTTTTCTACACATGCACATTTCTCCATCCGGACAGGCAAGAGGCATTACTGCAGCTCAGCGACCAGCAAAAGCACTTGAGGGGGCTGGTCTATGGAGAGCTACTGAGTCCAAGGTCCTCTGCCCCTGCTTCAGACATTTGCTCTGGGCATACTGACGCCAGTGGGAGGGGCTGCCCTGTTCGTTTCTTCTCTCTGGAACCTTAATGTTTGAAAAGGGGCTTTTGTCTGATCTGGATTGAGCTCTACATCAGGCCCAGTATCTGTGGAGTTCACTGCGCATGCTGCAAGCATCGATTTATAACTCCCTCGTGTGGCTTTCGTGTAGTTTAGGTACAAATCTGTTTTCATAAATATTTCACTCTCATCATAGCAAAATCCCCTTAACTGTCTCTTTCCACTATATCACTCCTTCCAAAACTCGGAACATCTAAAGGCGGTAATCCTTCAAAGCACGCTATGTAAGCCTCTGTTTCAGTTTGGGGAGCTGTCCTTTATTGAAGAAGACGAGAAAGGTTCTGAACACGGAGAGAAACTGTGTTGTATTTTTCCACATCTGCCAGCTGGATTAATAACGGAGTGCTGTGGCATTTTTCAGGGACCATGTGTTCCATGAACGATACCACTAAACCATATCAGTCTGTCTTGCTGATTGAATTGTTGCTGCAAGTTTCGATCCAAGAGCATTTGAAAAAATGCTTGCAATTTGCCACTTTAATGGGCCAATACCATGAACGGTTGCTTTAAGATAAAGGCACATCATACATTAGGAAACCACTGATTCTCTAGCACAGCTGCAAAGACTCACTCCAACTTTCACTCTTGCTTATTACTCCTGACTTTCACTTTCACTCATGCCATCTACGTATTATCAGCCCAACTTCTGCGATGGGTCCAAGGCCACAGGAAGGCAGAAAATTTTTAGGACAGGTTTCAGCACAGCACCGGGAAGTATCTTTCTCTGTCTTGGCTACATAAGAGAGCTGGAGGAAGTTTGGGTCAGGAGAGCAGCTAATGCCTCTCTAGGAAACTCTAGTTCCATCAAGCCTTAAAGTGCTTCTGGTTAGATCTTTATTGTGTAGACCCTCCATTTTGAAGAATTCCCTGCCAGTGTTGAGTCTTCAATTTTTGGACTAGGTGTTTGGCTATGTGGTAGCAAGCCATCTTCAAAGGTTGTCAGATGAAACAGATGCACATTCCAGTCCAGCTTCAGGAATGATTTTGGGGGGAAAGAGACAACTTCAGCCATCCTGGTAGATGACCTCCGCTGGAAGCTATAAAGGGAGAAGAGAGCTGTTGTATTCTCCCTCCCAGTGCTCCCCACTTTTCTCATTTCCAACTGCATCGCATTTATTGGATGCAAAGGCAACATTAAGAATTTATGAAGGAACAAATGAGAAAACTTGAACACACAATTCTTAGATAAGGAAATGCAGAAATGAGAAAAGGGAAATACAAAGGCCAAGTGAAAGAAGGAATGCAGGAAACGGCCTTATTTCAAGTCCAACGCGGGTGGCGCTGTGGGTTAAACTACAGCACCTAGGACTAGGACTTGCTGATCAGAAGGTCGGCGGTTCGAATCCCCATGATGGGGTGAGCTCCCGTTGCTTGTTCCCTGCTCCTGCCAATCTAGCAGTTCGAAAGCACGTCAAAGTGCAAGTAGATAAATAGGTACCGCTCCGGCAGGAAGGTAAACGGCATTTCCGTGCGCTGCTCTGGTTTGCCAGAAGCAGCTTAGTCATGCTGGCCACTTGACCTGGAAGCTGTACGCCGGCTCCCTCAGCCAGTAAAGCAAGATGAGCGCCGCAACCCCAGAGTCGGCCACGACTGGACCTAATGGTCAGGGGTCCCTTTACCTTTACCTAGGTCAGTAATGGCTGCACTGACCTGCTGTGGCTCTCCAGGGTATTAGACTCAGCAGAGATTCCTAACCCTACATGAAGACGCTGAGGTCTAAGCTGTGGTTCTGAGGCAAGGTTGCTCTCTTTTGCCATTACTTCTCTGCCATTACTGACCTTCTGACTGGGAATAGACTTTTAAAGCGCTTCAGAGACATTAGGAACACGAACACAGGAATTTCTCTTATACTGAGTCAGACCGTTGGTCCATGTAGCCCAGTATTGTGACTGCAATAACTGGTAGCTGCTCACCAGGGCTTCAGAGCATTTCTCTTGGAGCAGTGCTCTTGGAATCACAGGACTCTGTTTACATTCCTGGGATTCCAGACTGTTGGAAGTCTCATGGAAGACAGGAGACGGATGTGATGTTACTGGTTTCCTGCTCCTTTGTTTGTTCCGTTGCTCTTTGCTTTCACAGAGAGAGGATGTATTTTTCTTTGCTGTCTGTGTAGCTTAGTAATAAAGCATAGCATGTAGCCTTAAATCTCATCACTTCTGTGTGCTGCTTTGATTCTCTGCTGAGTGGGATGTGCCTGGAGCCTCATTAAAGGCTCAGGTCATCAATCACGTCGGGGGCGATTCTGAAGGACTCGGCCGGAGGAAGATGAGCTTTATCAGCTCGGTCCAGCGGAGAATCCGACAGAAACTACTGGTAGCCTGTGCAACTGGCACAAAATTGGAGTTTGGTATCTCCTGGCCTCTAACAGCAGCCATGTTTTACACCACCTGTAGTCTCCGGACCATCTTCAGAGGCAGCCCCACAAACGGCTCAGGCCATTATCCACTCTACATTATCCACTGTATCCAAACAGGTTTTACAAGTAATCTTTGGATGGCCGCTCTCTAAGAACCCCCCGTGCCTCTTTTTGCACATGCTTCCATTACATACTTGAACTCTATGGTGGAGATGACAGGGGCAATATATAAGAAACTGAATGCCAAACAATGTGGCTAATTAAATGAAGGTGCTATGGAATGTCATTGTAAAGACAAGCCTTTTATTTTCTGATGATTGCTACAGAGAGGACCTGAGCTTTCAAAACAGTGTGTTAGAAGAGTGGTTTAGAGTCTGCAAACCATCAAGGACAATGCTCTTGTCATTGTACAAGTTCTTATTAGAACTATCAGAAATAACAGGATTCTTCATTTGAATTGTTCCGAACTTACCACGAGCCATAAAGATAGAACTTTCTCTACAAAACTGAATAGATCTTACATCATCATGATGCGGGGGCAGGGGAGAGAAGTCTAACATTTTTTACTCTGAAATAAATACCGTATTTTTCTGTGTATAACCCCCCCCCTTTAATAACACGGCCCCTATTTTTTGGGATTCAAGTTTAAGAAAATGGGGGGAGATGCCCTAGAGTTGTTGAGCTTTTTTTTTTTTTGGGTGGCGGGAATGCCGAAAATCACTAACCCTCTCTCTACTTTTACAAACTTTGAGGCTTCTCAAAGCCTGCTGATACCCCCTTTTTGGCATAGATGCTGCTGTACTGATCATTTAGGTATCCACAACTGGAGAATGAGTTTGCTGTTAGCTTAAGATATGGGTTCTTAGTTGACCGGTGCTGT